CTGGTGAAGCTGATGGAGTCTCGAGCCCCATCCAGACCTATTCAGGCAGTGCAGGGCGCGTTTGAAGCGTGTCAACACGTAGCCGCCACACGCCCCAATCCAATTGGAGCAAAAGTCATGACCTGCCAACAGACGCCACTATAGATGTTCAAGTGTCATTTGTAATCTGTTCCAAACAGAGGGACCTCCCCGAATACTGCTGGCATTTGAATTATAGCAGGTGAACCCTTTCTTGTGATTTGCTATCCCACAGGAACAGCTCCGGTGGATCACAAACACGAGATGTTTGACATTGTAAGACCCTTAGATCCACCCTCACAAGCTCGCGAAGGGGCATAAAGGGCATTGTGGCCAGATATGAGGGTGATGTTCGATGATGTCCGCTTCTCTTCCGCTTCTTTTCACCATTCCAGTTGTCAACTGGCAGTATGATCAGCTGGTTTCACCATTTGGATGAGAAGGCCAACTTCATGCACAACGATGAAACCGGGGATGGATGCACCCCAAACCTGTTAGATATCTTTAATGGGGCGATGATCAGTCCGTCCCTGACACTGGAACAGGTCATCATTTGAAGGAACACACCATGTGGTTTGCTGTATGACTGTATGGTCATATGCTGTCCTGGATGATGTTTTTCTCTTTGGTAGTCGATTCCTGTGTCCAAACATGGCAGAATCTCACCCGTCTTTGAGGATTATTTTCTGGGCTCCATTTCGTTTGGACAGCGTGAGGATTTCAGTGAGCCGACATGTGACTGAAGATTTCGCTCCACACGCGCTAGATTTGGCCATTCTGCATGTGTCGCTGGAGCCGCGGTCTGTCTGGACATGGCCTAAGCCTATTGGGTGGACCTGTTTACTGCACTTTGGAGAAATGCTATGAAATGCTGGCTCAAGTGGATCGCCGAAGACAGGAGAATCCTAACTTTTGCCAATGTCCAACTTGGTGGTTTTTAGTAGTCCATGTATTGTTCCACGGAAGAGTGGTGTTTAGGACACTCAAAGGGTAACGGCAGATGGAAGGGTTGGTATATAGGGTTTGTCCTTTGCTTTGCAAGGATTGTTTTTTTGCGACCCGTTTTATGAGCATTGGGAGGATTGATTTGTGTTGACAACTATGTAACACGAGATCCACGAGTGTTGCAGGACGACTTGTCAGAAGACCTACTACATTTGCTGCCAAGACCAAGCCAAATTCCACCTTGTAAAAACTGAAAGTACTGTAGACGACTAGGAGAGCGAAAGCAGCATAGACCCAAGGTGGGTTTTGGAACTCCCCTTATTTTTGGACTGGATGTTTTTGTTCTGTTTTTTCCAGAAGTGAACCGACTGAGGCGAGGTTCTGGATTTGTTTATGATTTTGTTCCTCAGATATCAATCATGTTTCACCGACGTGACACATACGACACATATAACTATACTATATACTGTATATAAATCCCCATGGCCTAGCTAATGTGTTAGGGTGTGGGTGTACCCCAATTGGAAAATACACTAGTATTTTCAGTAGTGCAGGCAGGCACTCCAGACGCAAATAGTTCAAGTTGTTCATTAATCTTACGAAATCCAACAGGCAATGATATACATGTGCTGTTGTTTTCTTTTAATCATCACCCCTTCCCAGTTGTCCTTTTTGAATATCGTGGACCCAGATGGATCGCGTACATGTGGAGGTTTCTGCGACTTGGATGTCAGATGTCACGGATAAGACCTGCACGCCTGGTGACAAACCTCGTGGTGCTTCGATATGCGATCCCGGAAATCCCTTCCGGAGTGAGGTACACGCGGCGAGGTGAAGTGACGGTGAACACGGAGCAGTTGCCGGTGCACAACACTGCCACCCTGAGCCGCTCTTGCAGTGAGGTCTCTTTGGCAGCTGGAGAAGACCCAGCAGAGGTCTTGATCTTGGCAGGTGGGAAGATCTCCGACACGTGAGTGGGTGGATGAAACCCCCGATGTGTATCCTCAAGAAAAAGACAGTTCCACGAGTTCCAAACCTGGCGAGCGGGAATTCCGCTGGGATTTGACTGCCTTGGCCACGGCCTCGAACGTCAGGGGCGCCCTTAGATGAGCCGGTGGCGATGGGCGCCAACATTATCATGAACTCACAACAGGCCACCGGTCTTGAAAGGGTTGGATGAGCCAAGAAAGCCTTGGGTGGCGTTGGCAACTTCATGAATCCGTTTAAAAACGCAAAACATCGCAGGTTCGCATCGCATAGCATCGCCCTCTAAACCAATTTGAGCATAGCTTTAATATTGACTGCTACTGCTGTCGCAAGTTCACTCAGAGCTTCACGTTTCGATTAATTCTCAGTTCAACATGTTCAACAACACTACACCTCCAGATTTGATATACAACATTGTGCATGTGACCCTTTGTCCAGCAATAGAGATGGACATTGGCTGTTTGGAAGACTACTTTCCCTTCAACTCAGGAGGTCGTTGATGGGGCAAAAATATTAGCAGGTCCTGTTGTACCCAGACGTACCCTGGGTGTCCAAGGACATTTTTTGCCACCCGGTTTTGTCAGGATGTCCCGTGCTGAATCATTCAGCAAGCGTATCGTACGGTCACAGTTCTCTCCCCTGTGTGTGTGTGTGTTCGTGTATGATAGAAAGAATCAAATGCCACGAAATACAGAAAACCCTGGCAGGCACATTAAAGACTGGGAAACTTGCAATGTATGTGTTCAGGTGAATATAGGTCATTTAGAAGATGGTCAGAATGGTTGGGCGAAGTGGGGGCCAAGCGGTGTCCAAGTTTGATGAACATAATAAGAAAACCGTATAAAACGTTGTAGCAGGTAAAGTTGCCAAGCGTGCTTTCAGCCCACAAAGCTAAACACACTCTTTGACGCAGGAGAATCAATTCAGAAGATCGTACAAAATCCCAAATGATCAACTTTAGAACCGGTCGCTCAAGCCCAACGCAGCTTTTCTACGACTGCAGCACTGTGTCATTTCTTGGATCGGTTCGATTCTTTGGCCAAAAGCAGTGACTCTTTGGGGCTGGAAGATCTCCATCCTTGGGGGGGGTAGGAGCAAGGACGCTACTAGGGCTCCTGGCATCGCTACTAGGAGCAAGGGCGCTACTAGGAGCTCCTGGCACCCCAGTTGTCCTAACTCTTCCAGTGGACTGAAACCGAGGAGTTGGCCCAAGCGAATGCCGATCTACGCATGGGCATGTTTGGGCCCAGCTGGGAGCACACGGAAGATGATGGCGAATGGATGAGGACAGATGGGGACTGGGATGATGCATTGAGGACGCTTGCCCCCCCAGGATTGTGAACAAATGTTTTTCATTTTAAGCCTGGGGGTTTGGCTGTTCCATGTTCTGTTGGTAGAGCCGGAATCCTTTCATTAACAGGAAGATGGAAGGGGACTCCAAATGGATGTGCCGGCTAATCAAAACTTAACACTCCAAAAGACATCCAACGTGGGTTTTGCTTGCATCCTGATGTGAAAGGCTTTTGAACACAAGTGTCCAGATACAATTCTGAACTCACTGTACTAAACAGTTCTTCTGGAAGCTGGGATTTGGTTGCCACTGTTCCAACATCCACGAATCCACGCCATTTCTGTGTTCACTGGGTTTCATGACTGCACTGGACCTCCGCGAGGACCGTCCAAGAGCATTGGAAATACATGGCCCAGTTCTTCAACCGACGGGAGCGATAACCACAAATGGAGTCATGTTTGTTCATTGTGCTATTTTTGTCCAGCTTTCTTAAACAAAACCAAGCATCCAAAAGAGACGTGTTGCGAAACACAAGTGGTCAGCGCTCGATGATGTACAAAGCGAATGTGAATTGCAGTCAAGGGTGGCCTTCAGCTAGCGCAAGCTCGCGATTTTGTCAACTAACGCATTACTTGAACAGGTTGAATAGGTGCTTCACGTGCTTTTGAACGACAAAGAACTTTCAATTGCGTGTGCATTCTTGCTTGTGGAATAGTGGCTCTTCAATGCAGCACAGTATCACAGAAAACTTGATTTGCTTTAGCTGGCCAAGTTGAACGAGGGGGTCGGGTCACTATCTCCAGGCCGGTATCGTTTGGGTGCAGCTGTATGTGTTCCCTGTTTGCCTCACTTGCACCATCTAAGTTCCTTCTTGGAAGTAGGGGACTGGTGAGGTGAGCATGTTGTGGCAAACAGGGCAGATATCATTGACAATTCATTGGACACTTGTATGATTGCATTGGAAACCAGCCCCTAGAAGATTGCTATCACATGTTATCAAGATAACAAAGATAAGTCATCTTGTCACTGACAACAGTTCTCAACGGTTGCTTTGGAAGAAACATGCACAAGTGGATGTCCAGCGCCTTGCAACAAGGAGTCTATTTAACTGACATTGTGTGAGCTAGCTGCAGCTGTATCCATGGGTCACACGCTCCAGGGTTGAACTGCTCATAACTTCACGATTTCCACCGTCTCACGGAGATGAGCGTCTCAAGCACGACGCAGATTGCAGCACCGTGAAAGATTCCAGAGGGCCCTCCGGTTTAGCAGGAGCGGAAAAGACCAATAGAGCGAGCTCGCAGCATCGCGTAGATTTGGTATATGCGTTTGCTTTTCATTCAGCACAGTTTTGCAAGAGCTTGTACTGCCGAGCACTGTAAAGCAAGAGTTTCTCCAAAGACGGCAAGAACAAGAGCTGCAAACTGTGTTCATGGGTTGAACCTGTTCCTGCACATGACTTGAACAGAGGTCCCTGCTACTTATCCTGATCCTGTTGTGCTTTGCTTTTGGGTGTTGAACCTCACCCGCTCGTCATCGAAATAGGGATGGGATCCCCGAAGAAGGTCGTGATGAGTGTGGAACGCACGTCACTAAGGGACTACGCACGGTTAGCCCACTCTTTTACCATGAGGGATCTATTATATATGTAATATATATATATACAGATATGTATCTAACAATGTCCAAATCATAGTGACATCATAATTACACCCGTTTTGAGCTCTACGATCTACACCACCGGCACCAGCAGCCTGAGGTCTCCAGCGAGCTACCCTTAGAGTTGGACCTACGAGGACTTTTGAAGGCTTTGCCCAGGCGCGGGAGAGGTGGGATGAGGATGTGGAGGTGGTTCTGGTGTTGCTTCAAACTTATTGGAAGCTTTGTTCAGAAGAGGGTTTTAGATGGTTTTAGGATATTCGTTGATTTGAATGATTCTTTGTTGGGGTGCGCAAACTAGAGCAACTACTTGTAGAGTTCGCAAGGGACCTGCTTGCTACTTCTGCCAATAACGCACTCTTTTCATATTTGCTCATGTGCATGTTCTTCATCAACCGAATAGAATTCTTTCTTCAGTGCGGCTACGGCACGAATCTCTGAAGGTGAACGGCAAAGGTGTTCCATCGATTGGTGGCAAAGGTGGAAGCTTCATCCAGTCATTTTGTGGGCTGCATTGAATATTGTGCATCCAGGACTAGCGGCTAAGCGGGTCTGCTTGTTTGGGCCAGTGTAAGCTATTGTATGAATCCGAACAAACACATGAATAAGAAACACCTGTTGCGTAAGGTACAGCATGTATGCATGTATGCACGGAGTGAATTGTATAATGTTCTCAAATGTTCTCCATGTAAATGTCTTAAAGATCTCCAAGCGATCGTTTTGGAGGGTGACATGGCTCCCAACCTATACTCGTTTCCTCCCATCCATTTCAACATAAGCTCATTCTACTCAGATCCTCTAGGACGTCTTGCTCATCCCTGAGGATTTTTCCACATCTTGCTCCGCGGCCAGCGGCGCGCTTGGCACAAGGGCTCCTGCGGCACAAGCTGCGACTTGGCTTGGAGATGGCTCAGTTCGTTGGTCTCCGGCAATACTACGACGCTTGGTCGTTTTGGTGCACTGTACATGGGATTTTTAGGTGTGGGAGGGAGGTCCCTCAAATGGAAGAGTTGACTGGAGCAGCAATTGGTGCCATTCCAGGCTTCGGATTTAGGGAACTTGGGGTGGCAGAGGACTTGGTCTATCTCCCGTCCTTAGTAGCACTCTGTGCTTGACCTTATATGTGCCCTTAAACATCAGCATTGCATGCGCTTTCCATTCTTGGCATGCAGTGTCTACCACTCCCAGAGGTGAAACTGTTGAACAGGTCGGTCGTGTTCACAGTAGGAGGACGGAGGAAGCAGCCTCGGAACCATTGACCGACGAAATGTAACCGGTTGGGTAAGTGACCCAGGACATGCTGTTTTACTATTCCAATCTCTACGGGCACATCAATAATATATACCAATAGTGCCAATCCTTGACGATCAAGCTGCACATTCCTTGAGCAGTGGGGAGCTGTGGATTTGAACACGCTTGGCTCTTTCCCTTTGTACCAAGGTGTGCCGATCAGCAGATACGGTGTTTTGGTTGTTTCTTTTGTCAGTATATCAGTCTCAGTATGTCTTTTTTACTAGTGGGAACATTAGTATTTATGAGCAGATTTGGAATGGGGGACCAGAATTTGTCAGGCGTGAGAGTCTCTTCATCGCAGACGCCCTGCTGGAGATCAAGGGGTTTTCACGATGTTTGAAAGGTTGGTGTACCTTGGCACTCAATTGGGACATGAGGGAGTACTGCAGTCAGTCAGGTTCATTTCTGGAGCTCGGCAAATGTTCAAGCCGTGAAACTCAGAAAGCAAATAACATATATATATAATGAAAGCAATGTGTTTCGACATGCAGCCACGGGTTGCAAGACCCTGTTTTTGACCACGTACTCGTGCCTGGCAGGACTCCGGGAGTTTCCGGAAACCTCAGATAGGCCAACTAGAGGCACTTTGTTGCAACCACGCGTCTCTCCCAGGATGTGGAAATATCAAATTTTCCCGAGGCAAAGATGGCTATTGTGGTGGGGTCAAAACAAAACCATCTAGTTCTGGAGTCGAGGATCCTGGTATGCATTGGTTCCAACGACTACTTAAAATGTACTAAACTGACATCTAAACACAACATTTCAATAGACTAATATGTTTCTATGTTTCCATATATTGTCTATGCTCCTCAGGCTTTTTTTGGTGGTAGTGTTCCACGCAGATTTGCCCGAGCCGACCTCGGCACCACGAAGGTCGCTGCTTGGACGACCGGGCCAAAGCCTCCGACGAGGCGAGCCACGCGAACCGAGCCGCAGAGGTGCTGCAAGAGCTGGCGGCACAGGTGAGGCGCTTGGAGCCTTGCCTCCAAACTACAAGCGATGGCCTCCAAACTACTATAGTGATTGCCTTGCTCAATGATCATGTTCATGAAATTGCTCAATGTCCAATTCCCAGTGCATCCAAGAATCTTGCCGTACTCGCAATAGGGAACTAGTGGTGTCAAGGAACACTCACACAGACTTAGGATGACTGAGGTGACGTTCGTTGCAACGGAGTCCGTTTGGATTCAAAATCATTCACGTTGTGTGTGATGGAGTTTGTGTAGTCAACTTGGTTTGTCTTTGTTTTGGATTCTGGTAATGTTCCTAAGTCCTAGGTGACAATTTGTTCATGATGGTCATACTATGTTTGGATCAATCCGTGGTTCTTGCTTTCGTTGGATAGCCATCGGACCATGTGGATGGTAATCCCGCGCCACCTGGTGCCAGCAGATGCAGATCTACTGTTCGATCTTGTGTGGTTGGTGAGCCGTGTTTCAGATACGAGCAACCGCCCCAAAACACCCACCTCAGAAGAAACCATTTGTGTTTCGTATGTTTTGCTCACCAAAGGGTCCATAGTTGGACTAGTCCACGCTGTTCGCATTTTTTGGAACAATGTTGGACGACCCCGAGCTAGTCTTGTCTCCAAACGCGTCCGCGTCAGTCACCCGGTTTAAACTGCTATGGGTTGCTCACAAAAAAGGCATTAATTATGAATCGGTGGAAAGACGTTTTAAAAAAAAAACATAACATTGACCAGGTGTTCCATGGTTTCCCAGAATAGTGTACTTCATCCTCATCGGTGGCACATTTTTGGAAAACTACCTCATTCTGGTGCATCACCCGAACGAGCCGAGGATAATCTTGAAGCCTTGTCATTGGTCCTCTTCGTGGAATGCTTCGTGGGTGAACGGCTGGGATCTGCGGTGTCCGGTGGCTTTGTGATGTACAGTGGCCAGGCCTGGTCAGGAAGATTCAGATTGACCGGGAAAGATGGTGAGCATTTAAGTTGCCTAAGAAATCACACAGACCTTGCCATCCGCTTGTAATCTCCAATGGAAACTCATTGAGTATCGGAGGACTTTGCAGAGGTGACTCCTGATAGATGGTCCTCAAAACTCGAAACCATTCGAAACCTATCTCTGTGTATCATGCTGTACTACTATATGATTTATGATTTATGAATATGTATGCAGTATCCTTATGTTGTATCTAGCTTTGCTTGTCCACTCTTTGGGTGTTAACTGGTGAGAATACCTGCCGTGGACTCTGACTGATGTGATCTTTCGTGATTCGCAGCTCTAGCTTCCTGTGCTAAATTGTTGTCAGGTTGTTTCTAATCTCAAGAAATGCCCCAGATCGAGATCTCACGTGCTACTTTGTCACCCTCGATCGGCCTCCATGGTACCTTTGGCTAATTCAGACAAATACATTGTTTAGCATTTTTTCTCGCACACTTCACGGTGTTAAGCAATGGGTTTGATGGAGGGTGCCCACATCCGTTGGCGGCAAGTTTGATGACCCTTGCAGCACAAAAACTCCTCTCGAGATCTTCAGAGTCCATTTCGACTGCGCAGTCTCGCACAAACTGGTGGGTGCGCTCGCGAGTGAGTGCTTTCCTTGACTGTGCTCTCATAGTGGTGTCGTACACGATTTTGGACTAATAGTGGTCACTTTTCGTGGCAAGTGCGCTCTTGTACGTGGATGCGCAGATCACGCAGCAGGCGCAGCACTTTGGACTTGACGGCGGTGATGTTATTTGGCATGCTTTGTTTTTGTGGCAGGTGTGGTGAGCTGAGGTCTACCATTACCGCACTTTCAAAGTAGACACCTGCAAGCTGAAATTCCTCATTCACTAAAGATAGACCCCTTATATGGGTGCGGGTCAAACACTTTAGACCTTTCACACTCCGACATTTTTGCACCGGCTTTCTTCGCTTCAGACATTATTGTGACTGTGCTCCACTTCTTGGAGTGTTCAGTTTCGATCAGGTTCTACTCGGCCATGTTTCAGAGAGCAAGAATCCCTGCACATAGCTGTCCCTGATCTTGGACTGGGTTGGGATCTGAGATGGCTTTCAATCACCAAAAACTTTATATATTGATTGGGAAAGCCAATTCAGACCCGTAGTGATTGACCTACAGTAGTTTATTCAACAGACATCTAAGTTATGTGAGTCTCTGGGCTTTCCATTCACCAAAAGCTTGGGACGTGGCCTTGAGAAATATCTCACTTACATAGGTCCCTGGGTGACTGAGCTTTGTGGGTTTCTTTTTGATCTTGAATGTCTTGAATGATGTTTGTGTGGTTGGGCCAGGCACAGTCCGAAGCCTTCAGTAAACCTGTTGTTGCACGTTGCTCAGGGCAGTTCAATCCAAAGACCCGCATGGGTGTTGGCGGACCTGACTGGCAATGCCTTCATTGTAAAGTTGAGCAAGAAGGTCAAAGCCCGATGCCAGCAGAATGCAAGCAAGTACTACAAGAAGAACATAACTCAAGATGGTCAGACAAAAGTTCATGGAACTAAAGCACTTGGACTGACCACCAAGTGGCCTTGCAAGTTCTGCAAGCAAATGGTTATCGCTTGGAAGCGACAGCAACGTAAGGACTGATTACATTACATAATATCATTGTGCTTTGGGCTTCCAAGCTAGAGTAGAACGGTGTCATAAGGGGCTTGTTTGTTTACTGTAGTTGTGTTTCTATGAAAAACACAGCCTGCCAAAAGGGCAGCTGCAATGCATCCTGAAGAAAAATTGCACTGCAGAGAAATATCTAACGACACCCTCTTTGGTATATTGCAGATTCGTTTTCAAGATCTTCTTTGGCCAGGGTGCACCCATCGAAGAGAAAGAGGTTGAAGGAAAGAACCCAGGTTCAGAAGCGTGTCTACGTTCTTTTCCAGCAAGGGTTGCAGAACCATCCTTGACCCGGCATGGGTCTGACATGCAACTCAATTCCTTCTACCAAATTTGAATTTGCGTTCATGCTCCAAGGAACCAACTTAGACCCAGCCCGCCAGAGTGCACTTATGGAAGGGAAGGCTGGGTGGCAGGATGTGTGACTGGGTGGATTGTGTGACATGTGACATGTGTGATTATTTGTGGACATTGGAATCACTGACTTTAATCATGACTTTTTGTTCACCACAGATTGCTTTTCCAAATTGGAGGGTCTGACCTGGACCTGGTAGGGAGGTACTGTTGAAGCAGCTGATCACACGCTTGTGCTTGGGAGCAATGCTTTCTAGATGTGGACCCTGTGCACGAACCTTATTTTACTTGGCGGTTCAATGAAGCGTGCGCTCCACGGATGGCGCGAGCAAAGAAGACCGCCTGAGCGACATCCACGGTGGCTTGTTCGCAGGCAGCAGCTCGCGGAAGCGGGGCGTGGGGTCGCAAGGTGCGAGATCAGGCGGTATACCGGACCCTCTGGGACATACACGTGTGCTGACGGAGGCCGCAGGCGACGGCAAGGTGGAGAGGAGCGGAGGGAGGGTGGGAGCCCGGAGGGTGTGGTGTCGACTGGGGAGGCGGCGCAGAACATGTTTTTCTAGTGGCTGTGCGCCTGTGCGCGAGTGTATATATGTGTACACCATGTTTGTTAAAATACTAAAATAGTACATCCGCTAGGTCAAGTTTACTTTCCACATGCATTTTTTCAGAAACAAACGCTGTCAGAATATGGATTGTCCTTTTTGAGCCAGTATGTTGGCTAAGTCACTTGTAAGTTTTTGGCAAGCGTTTGGAAAATACTTGAAAAGTGCCAAGTCGTTCAGTTCAATTTACATATAAGTACTCTGTCTTGCACTCACAAATTTTGCTGAGTTGTCCATACTTGCAACCTTTTGGTACAAGCTACTTGCAAGCTACATGCAAGTGGTTTTGCCAAAAAAGGGAGTACCAAGTAAACTCCCTACCACCCGGCACGTCGATTAAATTCACTGATCGTAGGCTTCACATTGGCTTCACCGTTGTGTTTAGAATTGTTTAGATTTATGTGCTCCGAGTATGCTCTCATGTATGAGGTCTTTCATTGTTGTGCTCTCATGTGTGGTCTCATGTGTTTGTTCACATATGTGTGCTCCCATGTGTGTGCTCTAGAGGGCGGAATGTCTTGTTCTAGAGGGGGGTCTCATGCCGAGACTCGAGATTGAAGAGGCCAGCCAAAGCCAGTTGAACAAGTCGTTGACACAATTTGGTGCGGCATGCAGCTTTTGGCCGACCCTGACAAAGAAGGATTGAACAATGTATAACAATGTTTTGTTTCCCAAGGTCAATATTGTATGTGGACTGATGGACCCGCTTTTGACCCCGTCCAACATGCCAAACCTACCAGAACAGGGTGCACCATTGTCGTCTGGCCAGGCAGCACGGCAGGTAGTCCTCACCTTGTTGCGGAACTGGACACAGAACAGCAAGGTTTTGAAGTCGTTATCGCCGTTTCTGGGCACATCTGGCTGGGTCGAAACCGGGAACTGCCGTGCTGACTTGAGTTTTGATTTTGTTGGTGCCACGTAAAACACACGTGCCAAAGATATGCCCAAAATCAATTTATTTTGGGGTTACCCATTTTTTGAGACCACCGAGACCTACATGGAAGCAGCAGATGGAACGCAGACAGTTATGAAAGTCATGATATGCGGACAACGGTTTGTTGCATGCATGTTAAGTTTATATCTACTATCAACTGTAGGCGCAACAAACTGGACGTTTGGAATCAATCTGCACATTGTGTAGTAACATGAATCGTACATTTCATCACATATCATGACCAACCTTCTCCAACAAAACTGGCCAGGATCCGTTCCTTTCCTCCATATTTGTCCACGTTCATGAACTTTCAGTCAAACAGCAGACGCCATCACAGCCTTCCATGATGAATGTTTGACTGCATCAAACCCCAGCCCCAGGCTCACTTATACAATTGGGTTGAGTCCCATCCTAAAGCCATTGGATTTATGTTGAAATCCCTCATGTCAGGGACCTCAAACAAGGATCAAGAAGGATCATACACATCCCATGCCTCAGCAAAGACGTTCACCAAAATTCAAGGACTTCGACTTCACCCGTTCAAAAGTAAAGCCTCAGGTTCGGTCGCTTTTGGGCAACTTCTCCGACTTCTGCCAACTCCCTGAGGCTCTTGGTGGGGAAGCTGTGGCCCTCCGTTGCCAGCAAACTGCGGCGCGACGCTGGTGTGGCAGCAGTGCGCGACATCAAGGGGCCCGCGAACACGCAGTTGAAGATGGACAGCGGTTCGGTCGGGCATGCCTCCGACGTGAGGTCTCATTTGCAAAGAAGGCCTTGTAAGTGCATGAAAGGGAGACCGGGGAGACCCCAAAAGACACAAGTCGACAAAATCTTGGAGGTTATTCCAATTTTCATCCCAAGACACAGAGAGAGAGAGAGAGAGAGTTGGAATTATGTTAGATCGGATTGAGATGACTCTTTGGAATGCTGGGATCATGGTTTGCTGTTTTTAAAACGTATTTGCAGAATGTGTTTTCCAAAAACGTGGTATTCTGACTACTGCATCCTGTCACAGATCTCTACGTATTAAGTTTTAAATATTGTTAATACAATTTGATACGTATACAAGATGTGTGTGTATCATATGTGTAAGTGAATGCGTATCTTAAGTATAAATATAATGTGATTAATAATATATAATAAGTAATGTATTAATATGATTTAATATGTATATATATATAATACATTATACACATAATTGCTTGGCTCAGTAACGCCCTTGGCTGAAAGACGGCTCATATGATTGTGGCATATGGGTTTGGGGGACCACTCGATGTGGCACGAAGAATGCACGAGCATTCATGTCAATCTCAAAGAAAGAACCATTTGGATTGACCAAGTAGATATTATGCCTAGATTCCTAGATAGTCGGTTTTGAGTCCGAGCCGGTGGACTTGAAAAAAGGCACCGGCTCGGCTTTGGTTGTTTGAAGATCTGCAGCTGAAAGGGGGAAAGCAACATAGCTATGGCTATAGGGGGTTGAGATGGGTTAAGGTTACGGTTTCCATCGGTTTCCTGTTGATTATAGGCAACGCGGGGTTATGTTGAACTGGGTGGTGCCATCCTTGGCGCGCCCACGAAGCGCAAGAAGCCCACATCGTCGGGCCAGGAGTGGTTCAAGTTGAAACCAACGCAGAGCCTCAAGAAGGGCTATGGTGCTTTTCACCCAGAAGAGCTAGCGACAGTAGCTCAGCCGGAGGGAAGATATCAAGGACTGCATTATCCAGTCCTCTTGTGGTGAAGATCTCAACAACCTGCTATGCTAATTAGTATGGCACCTGAAAACCAGCGACGATCTTTTCTTTTGAGAAACACTTTGCGATGAACCTCGCCCTTCAACCTCTCAAGCGGCCCGGCTCTGTTGAATGACACTGCCAGAACACCGTGTGTAAGGTTGAGTGCAAAACATGGAGACATGTCAAGCCTGTTTTTAGCGTGGGTGAAACTGTTTGCTTGAAAACCATCCCCTGTCTATGTTGAGCAAACTTGGACTGCATGTCAAACCAGCCCGGCCGACCATTCAAAGCAATCATTGAAAGTGTCCATCGGCATGCGCACGCGCACACACACACATGCACATGTTTGCTTTGCTAGTCAACATGTATTCGGTTGGGGTTCCGGTAGTAGCGAGAAGCTACTAGTAACAAGGGCATCGCTACTAGTAACAAGGGCATTACTACTAGTAGCTAGAAGCTACTAGTGAGGATCTCTCCCACTCAGGCCACTCTGGGAGGAACGGGTTGCTGCGAGGTTTGATCAAACCCAACCTAGGCTTCGATGCAGTTCTTGCTGGCTCATTTCGACGCCACATGCGCCTCGGTGAAAACACTTCGGGCTGTGAGAAGTCTGAGGGAGCGCACCGTATTATGCACCCTGAAGGTGAGAGCATACCAGTAGCTGTGCGCACGCTGGCCAAGCCAAGCAATGGTTTTTGTGTTCAATTTCTAATCGCAGCTTTCGGAGCGGACTCCTTCCATTCTCGTTTGGTGGGTACATGGGAATCGGTGGGAATATATATATATATATACATAAATGCATTTACTGGCGGCGGCGGCGGCAACCATCGATTCACAAACACAAACGACACTTTGACGAGAGAGAGAGACACGAATAGGATCTAATGAGAATGGTGAATGGTGCAAACCCATAAATAAGGAAGGGTGAGGCACCGTACACTCCCCATCTTCGAAGCGACTTTCGCCACACGCGCCACAATCCCGAGCGCCATACACAGGCGAGCGGGGCTGTGAGGAGCCTCGAGAAGGGATTGCAGCCCGAGCACCTGCAGAGGAATGGGTGCCGCGGCCATGAAACATTCTAGGCACCAAAAGGAATGACTTGGATTGCCTTAGATTTGTACTACGTAGCATCTAGTGGCCAGCCAGTTTTATGGGGGGGTGCATCCTATAGTTGGCTTTGAGCTACACGCTTTTGGGATATCCTCAGTTCGTATCCTTACATAATTTGACAGAAAGCATGAGGCATGAGGAAGCTATATATGGATTATATGGACACACAGACAGCTTAATTTGGATTATTCGTTTTTACTTTGTGTTGTGGGAGTCAGGCAACTTCTAGATCCCAAAAGCCGTTCATCAGGTGCAAGACGTGCTGGATCGGCCCTTCGGCTGGGGTGTGCTGGTGCCGTTGAAGCTTGGCGTCAAAGAACCGGCCAGAGCAGTTTCCAAAGTAGCACAGCACCAGAAAACGCTTATGGCAACGTATGTAGGTTTCGTTTGATAACCCCACACGTCATAATGATGTCATATGATGCAAATGAACAACATGAAGCTCCTTGACTGTTCAAGTCTGGATTTATGGGGAAGCGTGGAGAAGTGCATAGTTTACTGGGTCCTGAGCCTTGAAGATGGGATCTCGCGAATCTCGTGTCTCATGCTCACAACGAATGGAGAGACACATGCCGAAACAAGACGCTGACGGATCACCGTTCCCATGCCGAAACAAGACGCCACGGAGCCCTTTGACGATCCCTGAGTGTTCAATTTGCCTCGCACCTAAGCGTTCTAGGTGGCTCAAAACTGACACATGCCTGGCATGCCACATTATAAACTATATAGTAAACATATAACTAGACTATACTAGTTACTAGTATTTGAAGCCTTAAGCTCATTTGGCGGTGGGTCAAGACCTAGACTGCCAAACCATTCTAGTTCAGATTGCAGATTTGTCCATCGGGGTGTACAATATTCGGTTTTGTGGTCACTCCTTTTCATGCCTTTTCGGACGATCTTTCTTCGGAGCCCCACAGCAGGTGGGAATGTCTCTTGAAAACGAGCTTTGCAAAACCTTTAGAATCAATTGGACCTTTTTGGAAAACCTGTTTCTCATGGGGTCTTGGAGTCTTGCAGACAGCTGGAAGACCAGGCCTCAGCTTCTCATGAAGAACTCCTTGTTGCCAAGGATCGTTGGCCCTGCTTCGGTGGCGGCAGACGTCTTACGGCTGTTGGAAGCGTTGGTGGAGCGGCATCCACACAATGAGACTTGGGATCCATTGGAACGCCGCCCCGTTGAGGCTGTATGGAAAGCCCAAACTGCCCATGATGGCGTTATGTTTTCGGATGGACATGTCTCATCCAGCAGGAAGTATACAGTATACAGGCTCATAGTTGATGCTGCATGTTCAGGCCGGCCTATAGTTACAGTTGGGTTGTGTTCAGTTCAGAGCCCAGACCAAGGGATGACCCTGATGACATGGAACCCGCGGTGTGTTTCATGGTTGTGGCGGCCCTTGGTGGTGTACTTTTGGATTGGCAAGAGGTCAAACAAGAGGTTTCCTTAAAAAAGCCAAATCATTGGTGCGAGCGCTTTTTCAAGGAAGCTCCTCCCCACCTTCACCTTGAAGAAACGTGAGCTATCCTGCGTCCAGTTACTAGAAGCTAACTAGTCGCCCTTAGTAAAAGTATATGTAGGCGCCTACTTAACTCAGTAAGGAGGCAGGGCTACGGGCAAGAAAAATTGACAGGATAGTTGCTGGCTGTGGCTGAAGGAAAATTCACTGAAATCCCTTTAAGATCTTTAAGCCGCTTGTTTCTTCCCTTTGCAAACACGGAGCCTTGTGTCAAGATGTTGGATCTGGTGGTTCAAACAACCGTGAACGTGTTTAACGAATTAACATGAAATGTTTCCTTGCCGCTTCTTTTCATGGTGACCTATCCCGTTTTTCCGACGGGACCAGCTCACAGGGATGTTCTTTGGCGGTCCATTTGACAAATGGCCCATGTGGTGCTGCACCTTGTCCATGAAGTACGTCTTTGAGGAGGGCGTGTAAACCCGGTGTGACTGGGTAGGTTCTTGATGGTTCTTGCGCAGAGGAGGTGTTTTCCGCAGTGTCGCGGGGTGTTTTTCCCCGTAGCGGTGCTTGGGCTTGGATGACATTGATGATTGACGCATCCAAGGAGACGATCGCCAAGCGCTTGGCGGGACTTCATGCCTTCATGCCGTTGCTACAACTCCCATGGCCTCAAGCTGACCCGGTGGAAAGCCACTTGGCATGTCAGAGAGGTGACAATGAGTGGGATTCGTTCCCTCGTCAGATGAAGCCACGAACTGCAGGCCTGCTCGTTAAGGGCGGAGAAAAGAAGCAACTTTAAACTTTGAGAGGGTGGTTAGAGTTGTGTGTGTGCGTGTCGCGTTTTTGCTGGGAGATCATTCCTGAACGAGGCTCATCCAAGGTTTGGAAACGCTGAAGGCGGCCGAAGGGTAGCTTCCCATTTCAGGATGAATCGATATGTGTGTCACCAAGCACCCCGCATCGACTACCATATTTGGCTTTTTTCTGATCCCTGGTCCATGGTTCCGAGGGTTGTCATGACGGAGTGCGGGTCAAGACTCCGTAAGCGGTGCTGGTTTACATCCCCATCCCCAAGCTCAGCGTTTGGCAATTTCAACACAGCACAGATGGTGAAGGGTTGCGGGCCAACCTGCAACATTGTTTTTTAGTTCCATATAGGATTTTATAGGTGCATCCAATGCAAGGTGGAATCGATGTAGTGTCAGAACTTTGCTTTGTTGTTGTTTGTTGTTGTTGCTGCTGTTGGTCAAGAATCGTTTGAAACCTGGTGGCACCTGACCAACCCAGTGACCACTGTGACTCGCCTCGGCACGACTCGGCACCAAGCAGTGTCGGATCTGATGCCTCTCCTGCAGGTCACTTGCCGGCCACGTTGTCGGTGCCATCCACACGTCGCAGTGCTGCCAAAGTCCTGCAGTGCGCAATGGACACGGACCTTGGGATGCGCGTGGCTCGTGAACATCTCGAGTTATGCTTCCAGGGCGCGGTGCATATGTTTCTTGGCAAACTCCCTGGGCGATGAAAGTCTGAAAGGCACGCGGTGTGTTTTGGTGGAAGTCCTGCTCTTAGCATTGCTTGGGCTTGCTTGGTGTCTCGCAATAGGTGCTTTTCAAAGCAACGTTGTCTAGTCAGAGGTTGCAAAATGGGCGGATTGATGTTTGGGCAGTGCTATTTTCTTGGTCAATGCCTTAGACAAGTGCTGGTTTAGGGGTTCTTTGGTTGCTGGCCTTCGCTTGGCTCATTTTCCACTACTTACTGTACGCAACCTTTTGAGACTAAACCCCGCAATATCAAAAGCAGGCATCGGTCGCCGCATCTCGACACACATCTACTCGTAGTGTCCAGACTGACCGAACTCAGAATACCAATGTATTTATGGGGGTCGCGCTAAATAATGATTCCAGGGGGTACGTCGATGGGCGGGATCATTTATGTAGAATCATTTCTCTGGAATCATTTTTTGACAGGGGGGTTCATGGGGGGTGTCAACCCCCCCTGAGAATAATTTTCAAGTTGATGTGACTGATGTACCAGAATCATTTTCACTTGTTGCAATGTCATAATTGCATTCGCCTCAGTCTCAAGCATACAGATTTCTATTGGAGAGTCCATCAAATACAAAAAACAGTATTAAAACAGATTCTGCACCAATGCAAAAGGCGGGAACGCATATTGCTTCAATTATTTCATTTTTTTCAACGTATGCGCTTGTACCAACTGATGGCTGAGCCTCCCAAACCTATTCAGTTTTGCCATGTGGGTTCTTGCTTTGGCAAGAAAAGAAACCACCCCAATTCTGATGTCAACCCCCCCTGGAATCATTTCCACACCAGTCATTTCCATATGAAAACACATAACTCACCACATTCTTAGACACCCAGCGGGAAAACATTGGACACCGACAACAATACATAATTATACCTATAATACCTATGGAAATAGAATGACATGGTGGAATCGTGGAACAAATTGCAATTCCCAGCTCCATTGCCCTTGCCCAGATTGGGTATGGGAGTTTCCTCTAAACATCTCACCTTCCAGAGTGCAGCCCCTCCAAGATTTTACCCTTACACCCCATTCTGATGTCAACCCCCCCCTGGAATCATTTCCACACACCTGTCATTTCCACATATCTCATCACATTACCATTCCAGGCACCACTACCCATGAAAGATCCCATGTCCATTTCCCAGACTGGGCATTCTTGGATATTCTTGGGGTTCCTGTAAAAAACATTAAAACACATCTAAAGATCTACCATTCTGATGTCAACCCCCCATGGAATCATTTCCACACCAGTCATTTCCATATAAAATCACATAACTCACCACATTCTTAGACACCCAGTGGGAAAACATTGGACACCGACAATAATACATAATAATACCTAAACAATCCTAAACATAATAATACCAATAATACTTTGGGTACAGAGTTCAGATGTCAGGAAATGTCAGCAGATTTCAGGAAATGATTCTGACCGTGGATGACGGTCAGAATCAATATCACCAACCCCCCTCACACCCCCCCAGAATCATTTAAAATGATTCCTGGGGGTCTTGACGTGGGCCCCCTTGAACGCAACCCCCATATTTATTTAATGTTTCTTTGTTTTTATCTTGGATCTCTGCGCGTCACTCATAGTTTTGTGTTTTCCAAGCCTTGATAGGCATGAGCAGGTGGCTTGTTTCAGATTGGTTAAAGATGGTTAACATTATATAAGTAAGAACAATCAATTAGGTAAATATTGAAGTTCGACCGGATGTCTCAATTGCTAGTCTCCTGTACCGTACCCGTGCCTAAGAAGGTAGCTATGATGCTTGTTAGTGAGTTGGCTGTGGTGAATCAAAATGACCTTACTATGGGATCCAGTGTTGGAGAGCTTTACCCAGCTACATGGACTATGTGGGTATGGTTCGGATGTCGACCCTGGAGGACCCGCTGGTTCTCCTTTACACGCTAAGAACAACCGCTCAGATCATACTTAACCACCCCCATCAAAGAGGCACGGGGTGTGCCAGTGTTTCAGCCATTCCCATACCTACCCATACCCATACCCATTTGAGTTGCCCCACCCAAGATTCCAATAGCACAATCACCGATATGGTGTTTCTAACGACCTTACATGAGCTCGAATCCTGGCGATGAAGTGGCGACCTCGATTGACAAAAGCTCACAAAATGAATATAATGTATCAAAATGCAAGGCCACCACTTGGGTGCCCCCCATGGCTCAACTACGTCAGGCTGCATGCTGTGCTAGAAGACCAGGAGCCTGAAGCACTTTTGGCCACCATTGTATCATGGCACAGCAAAAAGGAGGGACCGGGGGCTTCAAGGTTGGGATCGCAGTGAAGGCCTGCCTGTGAAGGAATAGGAAGACTACGGAAGACTGCAAGTGTCTTTTTTTTTTCAGAATGAGCTCAGGCACTTTTTTGTCAAATTCCGGGACTCTGATTCCTTGCGCTTAGCATCCACAATCGGTAATCTAAATGTTTCTAAATCATAATTCAAATCCACATCAACATCTACTTGAACCTCCATAACTGATCATGTCTCCATCAAATTCCAAATGAACCCCATTGTTCACCACAACCAAGACGACCAGAATCCATACATGACAATGGAAAGAGGGATGAGAAGAGTGAAGAGTTCCACTTTTGGACGACATGCCAAAAATTGATCTCATGCTTTTGCCCCTTATCGCTGAAGTCGGTACCTGCAATATTTATATAGCCTGATTCATGGAGGACAAAGTTCAATCTGATGTGAAACCCTTCAGACTGTCAGTTTATGCCAAAGTCTCCATGACATCGATAATATGTACATACTGTGTGACTCAAGAATGAAAGCCGGCGGGGACCACAGATGTTCGTTGCTTTCACTGGCTCACTGGGTATGTTGCTCGTAGGCTCCCAATGTTGCATCCCAGAAGTTGTGGCTTTGGAAGAGCATCCGGCCCGGAAGGCATAAGCTCCAGGGCTGGTTGTTCAGTTCAGCAATCCTTGCGGCTTGGCGGTCCGAGGAATTGCTGGGTCAACTCTGTAGCCTCTCCACGATGGAGCTCCTCTCCCAGGATGGGCCGCGCAGCGTAGCTGTGGGTGAGTTGGAGTGTTTTTTTTTTTATCATGTTTTAATCCATTTGTTATCTGTTTAAAGCAAAGGTTGGAGGGTTGCTACTTAGGGGTCAGTAAGGCAGTGAACACAAAAGGGAAGAGTTCAAGAAAGCACAGTGTCCCAGTTTTTGGTTCCCGCCTTAGATGCTTACCATGTTGTATCGTTAAATGTCCCTTCCGGCTGGGATGCAGTGGAGGGTCTAGATGTTGATAACTTCCCTGAAGCTCAGAAAAAGATCTTGTGCACCAAGCGGTCTCAGTAGAGTGACTGACTGACTGAAGAAAAGGAACAGCAGGTCATAGGTGGTCACAAAGATGTGGGACACTCGACACGAAGAACTGTTCAGCTAGGGCACTGTGTGCAGTTGCGGGATCGCTTGCTCTTCTTAATTGCTTTGCGGTGCCTATTGAGCGGGGTCCATTAGTTTGAGATGTTGAACATGCTTCTCATGATTTTTCCCTAGTTCTTTGGCAGCTCTACACCGTGGGGTAGTTTTAAGGCCATCGATTTATATCCAGAAGATTCCAATAAGGATCACATACGATCACTATGTTGGATTATTTTGAAGGGTAAGTCGCGCTTCCAACAGCAATCAGCCACTCGATGATGTTTCCTCCTCGTGCTCCCTGTGCCATGAACTAGATATGTACTGAATCTGACGTGAGTCATAATTTCTGAACAGTTCAACATAGGCGTGACATAGATGTCATGCCATGTCATGCCGTACTGCCACCTGGGGGATCTCTCTTCGTTGCTTTTTATCCTGGTTCTTAACATGTTTTGTGGTGGTGGGTCTTTCATTGGTTGAACTGACAGTTTGTAACCCCTGATCCTGACATTCTTTTTGTGCATACAAACAAACACCCCGCTAATGCTTGGGTGGCGCTGGATTCGTAGCACAAGCTTGTTCAGTAGGGTCTTGCTGATCCTTGAACAGAGTCGGTGCAGGTGTGTGCCTTTGTGGACCCCTGCTCATGGAAGATATTTCAACCATAATTTTCTGCATGATCTTCCCACGCGCCACGGAAGATCCGTGTACATTGTTTTGACTAGGGTGTTTACACTCCCTAGACACGGCTTCACGTGTCTTCGCCTTCGCTGTTGTTGGCTCAAAGAGTCGTAGAGCAGATATTCATGACATGAACTGAATCTCTCAGCCCCTTGCTGTGGATGCACAAAAAGC